GCTCTCTCTTCAGGGAGCCTCTGGAGTGTGTTATCCCCTCTGCTTGGAACATTCTCCTTAAATCCCTAGTCTCAACTGGGCTAGCTTCGGCTCATCTGACACTTGTCAGCTTTGACATCACCTCCTCCTGGAAGCCCACCCTGATTCCCCAAACTTAGGTGAGGTGCTCCTCCCATGAATGAATGGAGATTAGGGAGCACATATTATTCATGCTTAATTTCCCAGTGCTGAGCTCAGCACTTGGCCTTGTCAGCAACAAAAACAGTCACTGTGGTAGGCAGAATAATGGCCCCCCACCAAAGATATCATGTCCTAATCCCCATGTAACTATGTTATGTTACACAGGAAAGGGGAATTAAGTGTGCAGCTGGAATTAAGGTTGCTAATCAGCTGTCCTTAAAATAAGATTATCCTAGTGGATAATCTTATCCAGGTGGGCCCGAAGTAATTACAAGGGTCATTTAAATGTGGAAGGGAGAGGCAGAAGAGGCAGAACCAGAGAGATGGCGACATGAGAAAAACTCTATTAGTATTGCTCGCTTTAAAGATGGAAGTGGGCCACAAGCCAAGAATGCTGGCAGCCTTTGGAAGTGCAAAAGGAGAGAAAACAGATTCTTTCCTAGAGCTTCCAGAAAAGAATGCAGCCCTGCCAACACCTTGCTTTTAACCCAGCAAGATCCTTTTTGGACTGCTGATCTCCAGAACTTTAACATAATAAATCTGTGTTGTTTTACACTGCCAAATAAGAAACTAATGCAGTTACTCACTCATTCAACAAATATGTATAGAACTCCTACTCTGTGTCAGGTACTGTTTAGGCATTGGCATTAGCAAAGAACAAAACAGGCTCACATTCTACCGATAGACTTGTAGAGTTCATTGAACTGAATGGAGGAGGGATTGGGCAGGTTCTACCAGTATAGATACAAAGATTATTCTTGGGCAGAATAGAACAGTACCAATTTTTTTCTTTAGGCTAGAAGCAAAGAGTTAACTTGAGCAGTTCCTACTCTATGAAACAGGACACAAGGGCATCGACTGGAGAGTGATTCCTCAGTTAGGAGTTGTACAATTGCAATGGCAGAAAACCCAATTTACAAAAAGAGGATGAATTGGCCTAGTAACCAAGAAGCAAGGACTGCTCAGTGGTTCAAAGTGCCTTTTGTCTCCATCTCTCCACTCTGCCTTCTACAATGCTGGCTTCGTTCATCCTCAGGCCCCTCATGGTGATGACCCCTGCCACGCCCCACATACACACAGCCAGCCAAACCTCCACAGCTGCAGCAGCTGGACCTCATACGAGCTGTCTAGGAAGAGAGTCTGGTTCAGGAGCCAAGCTCTCTCACTGGACCAAGCTGGGCCCATGCTCATTCTTGAACCCATCATTGTGGCCAAAGGGATAAGATATGCCAATGGAAAAATGCCCACTGCAGGGGAACTCGAGAGAAATGGAGGCCGTACAATATAGGCCATATGAGTAATGGGAGAGATAGCTGACCAGGGACCCAGGGAAGGCTCTCTGAACAGGCCAGGGAAGCACAGAGGCTGGAAGGTTGGCTGATGCTCCTGTCTGTGTTTTTCTCAGCCACTGTAGGTTGCCCAAGGAAGGCATGTAGGTGATCTGATCCAGGGTTGGGAATCTCCAGAGCAGGGGACTCAGGAAGACCAAGGAAGGGAAGAATGGTGGCTCATGAGGTGAGGTTTGGTTAGGAAAGGGAAACCAAAAGGGGTCTAATGGGCCAAGTCAAGGAGGTTGAAGGGTAGGTAGGATAAAGGAGTCAGAGAGGAAGGGAGAGCTAGAAAATAAGATATTAGAGTTCAAGGCTGGGGTGGAGGGGCAGTTCCATTGGAAGGTATGACTCAGGGTGTGGCACGGAAATGGGTTGCTCAGAGAACTACACGTGGAAGCTGTTGAGATCATAATCGTCATCATGATGTAATAAGTACCTATTAGGAATTATTTATTTGTTTATGCGCAGCTTTGAATCAGAAAGGATTTAAGGTGGCTCATGAAGATACACACAACATGTCAGGATACAACAAGCTAAGGTGGGGTGAGGTGATGCTAAAAGGAGAAAATAAGGGTAAGCGAGTAAAAAGGAGACTAGGAGTGAAGTTAGCACACAAAATCCATGCCACAAATTCCTTTACACTCTGTATGGAGGACCACAGTTTTGACTAGAAGCTTTCCATTAGCCATTGTGAAGAAGGGAACAAAATAAGCAGTTCCCTGAGTGTCCTAAAGATAAAATATACCAGCAAGAAATGAGAAATATATCTGGTGCTGGTCCTGACTTCAGAAAAAGTTTCCTGTGTTGGTCCTGGAGGGGAAAGCCCCCATGACATCGCAGGGGCTTGAGAGTCCAACAGGGCTTACTTCATCACATCCTGGTTCTAGCATTGACACAACTTCATTAAGCTCTGTAAGCCTCAATTATCTCTTCTGTTAAGTGTAATAATTCCCCCCCTCCTTGGGCTGCTGTGAGGATAACATGAGGGAATGTGTAAAGCACATTGTATGGGAGCAATTCCTGGTAGCTATTGTGAGTGTCCCCAAAACAACAAACTGATCAGTTCTCATGTCTGTGTCTTACAGCCAGAAGCTTACAATCCATTTACACTGTCCCCTATTGCACTTTTTGAAAAATAGCAGCCTTGGTTCATTTTGGGCTTTGAAAATAATTAGTCTGGCTACCCTGGACAGACTTCATTGGGCTAGTACCTCACCTGTGGGTGAGTCTTCTGTATTGGAGAGTGGGTCCTCCTCCATCCAACTGAGTCTTCCCAACTGTGGGTCTTCCATATTGGATGGTGACTAATGAATCCAATCAAAACCCAAAGAAAGGTTAATGATGGAAAGTAGAAAGAGAGATAAAGACCCCAAGAACAAAAGAGTAGCTGGCTGGAGACTAGAATTCCTTACAGAAAGCCTCCCAGGTCTTCAGGTTGCCCAGCTCTTCTTTGCAACCTGAAAGGACCACATAGAATCGGTCCCTCAGAGAGAGGGCACCACCTTCCTCAATCACCAAGCCACTGTCTGTATCGGGGAGGCGCACAAGGACGTATTAGGAGCCAGGCATATACTGCAGTGCATATACTGCAAGGGAGGTGTTATTACCCCCATTTCATAGATGAGAAAATCGGGGCTCATAAAGAGTAAATGAAAGTGGCAAAATCCAGATTTATGCTGTTAACACCTTGAGTTGTAAGTATAGTATTTGTTTTTGTATCCTTCTCCTCCACCATACTGTGAGCTAGTTGAGGTCAAGATCAATCCTACTTAACTGTGTTTCCAGCTTCTGGCACAAAGAAGTCAATAGATTAACTAATGATGATATATCCCAAACAGATACAATATCACGTAATCACACCCAGCACAAACACACACAGTCTAATGACCCTTGGGACTCGCCCCCTGGTCCCACTGCAGCTTTTAAAGAATCCTAGGATCAGGTCATGGAACAGTTGAGTGGAGTCTTCTTTTTACCTAAAATTTTCCCCCTTCCCAATAGAGTCCATCAAAATTGTCATATGTGATTTGAGTCTTTAGGGATTGTCCCCAATGAGAAGTATGATTTTTTTAGGTCCAAAGAATCAAAGTGTTTCATAAGCACCTGATGTGCTGTGTTTTGTGCCCTGCTGGAAACCAGTAACCCAGCTGCTCCCTGGTGTTGGCTCAATACTCCTCCATATCAGAGCCGATGAGCTCTAAACATCATGGCCAAGCATCCCCAGAGTGCACTGCTCTATATATTACAAAATCATTAATATTTTAAGCCCTGTGCTTGTTGCTATAAAGGCCAAGTACGTACATTTATAGTTTTCCTGTTTTTGTGAATTCTGAAGAAACCAAAAACACAAATCAAAACTGTGTTTTATATTGTTTTGTTTTATGATTAGCTACTTTTTAAAAAAAATTGATACCTCTGCATTAATTTATTACTTTATGGTTTATTGGAAAATATTATCTTACATATTGGTTTATTTGGCCCTTAGAACAACCAGCGAAGTATTATTATCCCCATTTTACAGGCGAGAAGTCAGAGGTTCAAAGAGGTTTTGTAATTTGCCCAAGGTCACACAGCTAATAAATGGCAAATCCAGGTCTTTGGATAGCAAATACCATTCTCTTTACACTGGAAAGGTTAAATATTACCTTAGTTAAGGTTAAATATTACCTAAGTTAAGGTTAAATATTACCTTAGTAATATTTAACTCTGAGCCCAAATGAGAAACTGTAGCTCAGAGAGGCTAAATGAAGTTCTCTAGGTCATGTGTTTGGCAGGTTCATTCGTGGCAGAGAAAAAGCATTCTGTCTCCACTCTTCACATTCTACCTTAAAGATCTGCCATGTTTGAAATCACACATATACCTAGAGGTTTAGAAATGACTTGAATTAATAATCATTTAGTGATTAGGTTGAGTAACCTGAAAGATACAGGTCACATTCCTTTATCACAAACCTCCAAGGGGCTCTCCAAACATCTCAGCTGTACTAAAGTATTGTACTGAACAATGCTTAAAAAACTTGGGCTGAAACCATCTGTGGACAGTACTATGATATTCCTGTGGTGCTCAAATAGCATGTATTTTTCTGTAATCTGGACAGTGAAATTGATACTACAGAGATTTTGTGTCTGCTATGCCTGATGCAAAGTAGATACGGTCTAAGAGAGGAAAACCTATGGAGGCTCAGAAAAGGAGAGACCTAAAGAAACCTCTTTGATAGAAGTACATTGAGTATTATTTTGATGCATGCCATGGAAATTCAAGAAACATCTCATTACTCCGCTTGTCCTGAAAGGGAGCTACCACTTGTAGAGCACTTATTTTAAGCCAATCACTGACATGACCTAGGCTCTTTAAATGCATCAGATAAATCCCATTTGCCCCTGTTGCTCCCTCTCTTGGGTCATACAGCAGTCTAGGATTATCCGGCAGGGGTTTGGGCAGTGTGACTCCCCAGCCACCACACCGTGTTCAGTTTCCACAACACCCACCCCACTGCCAGCTCCAGGCGTGGACTGGACTTTCTCAGGAGCCACATGGCAGTAAAGCACAGGCCCCAGACCCTCACTAAATCCAACCCCAGAGGCCATCTCCAATACTCCCCCTCTGGAGGTTGCCAGCTGCATTTCCTTCATGGTCGGTACAGTCTCTTTGAACTGATCTGAACTCCCCCAAATAAAAGCCTTATTGGTGGGGAAATAGGGTAAGGGCTCCTGGCTCTAAAACTTTTACCCTCCACTTAGGGTTGTCAAATTGAGCAAATCTAAATATAGGATGCCCAGCTAAATCTGAATGTCAGATAAATAACAAGTAATTGGGCGTGGAGGGAGTCCTTACACTAAAAAATTATTGGTTATTTATCTAAAATACAATTTGTGTGTGTGTGAGGAAGACTGGCTCTGAGCTAACATCCATTGCCAATCCTCCTCTTTTTGCTGAGGAAGATTAGCTCTAAGCTAACATCTGTGCCCATCCTCCTCTACTTTGTATGTGGGATGCCACCACAGCATGGCTTGATGAGCAGTGCGTAGGTCCCAAACCTGCGAACCCCAGGCTGCCGAAGCAGAGTGAGCGAACTTAACCACTATGCCACCGGGCTGGCTCCTAAAATACAAATTTTACTCGGCATCCTGTATTTTGTGTGGGAACCCTACCAGCACTCCCGCTTTCCCCAGCTTTGCAACATAAAAGCCATCAGGAACCCTCTAAGGAAGGGGAGCCTAGACTCAGAACACAGAGGCTTCTTGGATGGCGAAGCAAAGAATGTAAACATATCTCACCTTCATTTGAGTCTCTTATGGCAGTGAGACCAAAGCACACATGGATAGCTCAGTGATTACCCCGCCACTGAAGCGAGGTGATAGTTAATGGCGAGATTTTTAGAATACTGTCTCTGTGACAAGGCAAATTTGGTATTGTAACCTAGAATAGCCTCTTGACATTCACAAGTCTAGTCCTGTGACCTTCACAGATTCCCAAATTCATGAATACCACTTTAGTGTACAGTTTAGTAGAAAATTTTAAGTTAGCCTTCAGACTCTTAATGATTCCTATCCATACAGGACTCGAAAGTCAATTATAAAATAGCTTTCTGGCTAAAGGAGATGCTCCTTAGCTTTTTCTTAACTTCAGTCACCAGATCTAGCACTGACTTTCATTTCAGGCCATTTTTCATTAAGAAATATGTTTTATCACTTCACACCACTAGGATTACTATAATAAAAAAGACAGATAATAACAAACGTTGGTGAGGATGTGGAGGAATTGGAACCCTCATACATTGCTGGTGGGGACACAAAATGGTGCCGCTGCTTTGGAAAACAGTCTGGCAGTTTTTCCAAAGGTTAAATATACAGTCATCATATGATGCAACAATTCCACTCCTAGGTACATACCCAAGAGAAAGGAAAATATACATCTGCACAAAAACTTGCACGTGAATGTTCATAGCAGCATTTTTCGTAGTAGCTAAAAAGTGGAAAGAAACCAAATGTCCATCAACTGATGAATAAATAAACATACAACAGAATATTATTCAGCCACAAAAGGAATGAAATAGTGATACATGCTATATAACATGGATGAACCCTGAAAACATTATGCTAAGTGAAAGTAGCCAATCACAAAAGACCACATACTGTACAATTCCATCTATTTGAAACATCCAGATTGGGCAGATCTATGGAGACAGAAAGTAAGTTAGTGGTTGCCTAAGGTAGGGCGCAGGTGAGTGCGGGAAAAAGGAGACAATGGCCCAGGGGTGCGGGTTGCTTTATAGAGTGATGAAAAGGTCCTAAAATTGATTGTGGGTGGATGCACAACTAGGAATATTCTAAAAACTACTGAATTGTACACTTTGAATAAGTGAATTGTATGGTATGTGAATTACCTCTCAATAAAGCTGTTATAAAAAAGCAAAGCCAGGGCTGGCCCGGTGGTGTAGCAGTTAAGTTCACACGCTCCACTTCGGCGGCCTGGGGTTCGCAGGTTCGGATTCTGGGCGTGGACCGACGCACCACTTGTCAAGCCATGCTGCGGCGGCATCCCATATAAAGCAGAGGAAGATGGGCACGGATGTTAGCCCAGGGCCAATCCTCCTCAGAAAAAGAGGAGGATTGGCAACGGATGTTAGCTCAGGGCTAATCTTCCTCACCAAGAAAAAAAAAAAAAGCCAAGTAAGTTTTTATCACTTTGTGAGTGTGAGCAAGTTTGAGGAGGAGTAGAGAACAAAAGAGTACTGAGATGTGATGCTGGGTGGCTGGTTAGGCTCAATCACTAGCTAAGTGGCTTCTGAAACTTCACCAGTAAAATTACAACTCTGGAGCACAGTCACGTAGAGTCAAACTATGAATGCTAAATCCATTACAAATTCCAGTAGTCTACTTTTTTTATGTGTCTTCTAATGAAAAAAATTCAAAGTGCCTAAATAGCAAGTAGTCTGAAATGATAGCAGCTGTTTATTAAAGACTATTTTAAAAAATGGCATCTTCTTCAATAATGACACCCAGAATGTTCCATGCTAAAGAAGCTCTAATTTCACATTTGCTCAAGTACTGATTTGATTTAGCCAGTATGACACCAATCTTGGATAAAGTGTGCAAACAACATAATTTCATTTCCTCATTAATCAAAACTGATTAGGGAAAAAATTAATTAATGAGGAAACCAATAAGATGTTACAAGCTGTTAAAAGAATTAGAAAAAACCACGTGTATATAAAATTTTTTTTTAATTTTTATTTATTTATTTTTCCCCCAAAGCCCCAGTAGATAGTTGTATGTCATAGCTGCACATCCTTCTAGCTGCTGCATGTGGGATGCGGCCTCAGCATGGCCGCAGAAGCGGTGCGTCGGTGCGCGCCCGGGATCCCAACCTGGGCCGCCGGCAGCGGAGCGCGTGCACTTAACCGCTAAGCCACGGGGCCAGCCCCCACGTGTATATAAGACTATCAAGAATGATGAAATCAACTTGATTAATAGATGGAAAAAACTGATTAGATGGGCAATGATTGTGCATGGGTCCCTTATCCTAGCAACACAAACTCGATTGCATGGCTGGGGTGTTGCAAGAGCTGTATAACCAAAGATGGACTGGTCTGACTTGAAATGTCTTTAATCTAGCTTCCCATATTTGGTAGGATTGGTATAGCAGTGTTATTTTTATTTTTATTTATTTATTTATTTTTTTGTGAGGAAGATCAGCCCTGAGCTAACACCCAGGCCAATCCTCCTCTTTTTGCTGAGGAAGACTGGCCCAGAGCTAACATCTGTGCCCATCTTCCTCCACTTTATGTGGGATGCATGGGCCGGAGAAGTGGTGCGTCAGTGCGCGCCCGGGATCCGAACCTGGGCCGTCAGCAGTGGAGCAAGCGCACTTAACCGCTACACCACCGGGCTGGCCCCAAGGCAGTGTTATTTTTAAAAATCATTTAAGAATTCCACAAGAATAAAACTCAACCTTGACCTCTGTCTTTCCTCACACCCCACGTCCAGTCTGTCAGGAAATCCTGTTGATGATCTTCAAAATGTTTCTAGGATCTGACCACTTCTCACCACTGCTATGACCCTGGTCAAAACCACTGTCATCTCCCACCCAGACGTTGCTACACCTTGGTCTCTCTGCTGCTACTCAAATCTTCCTGCAGTCTCTTTTCTACTCAGCAGCCAGAGGATCCTTTTAAATCAGGAGACAGATCTTATCACCTCCTGCTCAGAACCCTCTCGTGATTTCCATCTCAGTCAGAGTAAAAGCCAAAGTCCTGGCAATGACCACCAAGGACTCACGTAATCTGCAGTGACCCCAGCTGGACAACTCTCTGGCCTCCTCCCCTACTTCTCTCTCTGCTCTACTGGCCTCCTTCCTGAGCCTCAGACACACCAGACAGCTCCCTCTTAGGGCCTTTATTCTGTTCCTTCTGCCTGAAATGCTTTTCCCCCAGTTAGCCACTTGGCAGACTCCTTCATCTCCTTCAAGCCTTTGCTTAATTTTCACATTAATGAGGCAAACTCTGACCACTCTATTTTATATTGCTACCTGTGCCTGTTCCCACCATTAATTTCCAATTGCTGCTGTAACACATTAACATAAACTTAGTGGCTTAAAGCAACACAAATTACCTTACAGTTCTGGTGGTCACAAATCCAAACTAGGTCTTATAGGACTAAAATCAAAGTGTCAGCAGGGCTGCACTCCTTCTGGAGCACCACGCTCATTTCCAGATGCTTTCTAATCTTAACCAGACAGATGCCATGTACCTCCAAGACAACAGCTCCCCAGCTAGACTCATTATATGCACATATGAAACAGATTCCTTTTTTCTCATCAAGACCTCCTACTCTTTCATCATCCACATCAAACCAGTCATCACAAGCCTTATTGATTTTACCTTCTAAGACTCTCTGGATGCTTTCTCTTCCATTCCACTTTCAACATCTGGGCTATCGCAACTGAAATTGTGGGGTCCAGTATGTGACAATTATTAAAAACTTAGTAAACAGGGCCGACCCCGTGGCTTAGCAGTTAAGTGCGCGCGCTCTGCTGCTGGCAGCCCGGGTTCGGATCCCGGGCGTGCACCGACGCACCGCTTCTCCGGCCATGCTGAGGCCGCGTCCCACATACAGCAACTAGAAGGATGTGCAGCTATGACATACAACTATCTACTGGGGCTTTGGGGGAAAAATCAATAAATCAATAAAAAATTAAAAACTTAGTAAATAGTAACCATCCATTTTCCTCCCTTCCTCTCTGTTTCTCTCTCTCCCTCCTTCCTTCTTCTTTCTCTTCCCATCCAATCCATTGTCCATGCTGCCACCAAAGTTATCTTTCTAAACAGCAGATTTGGTTGCCCCTCTACCTCTTCAAAATCTTTGATGGATCCCTGTGGTCTCTAAGAAAAAGTCCAATCTCAATATTGCATACAAATCCCTCCTCCATCTGACCTATCTACCCCTTGACTGCACAAGAGAGGCAGTGCCTGGTGCAAAGCAAGCTCTAAAGTCAGACCAGACCCTAAATTTGACTCAGTCTTAATAGCTGTATGAACTGGGGCAAATCACACATTATCCCTAAGTGTTAATCACCTCATCTGTAAAATAGCGATAACTGTGGCACCTAGCTGTGGTTTTTGTGAGGATTA